AGAGAGGCATGGTGGCGGTGATGAAGAGGGAACCGGCTCTCCGACAGGTGCCGGACGTGGAGGCGCCTCCTCCCTTCCTTCTTCCTTGTCTTCGCCCTTCTCTCCATGGTGGAGTTGCTGCAATGGAGGTGCGTTGGCTGTAGCCGAGACTTGTTGAGGATGGAGATAGATGTCTCTGGCGGCTAGGGTTGGAGGTCTTATTATAGGAGGCCTCCTTGGGTCTCCTCCATTGATGTAGAGGCTCCACCTTCATCCAAGGGCTCTAGGGGAACCAAATCTTACCCCCAAAAAAGCCTTGGTCGTTAAGGATTCTGTAGAAACGGGGACAAAACCGTAGCAAAATCAGGAAAGTTTCGATCAATTTATGAAGTTATCGGGAGGCCGTATGAACGCCCATACGAGCATACACGCTCGTATAGGTGGTTGTCTTGCGCTCCGGACTTCGGGAGCACTTTCGTATTTTGGTCGCCATTTTTTCATATGAACTCCGATTTTGATGTTCTTGGGCTTGTTGGATTTGTAGCAAAAGTCTGACGCGTCAGAGGCCTTGTATCTCCAATTTGGACACTTTGATAAATGTCAAATCATCAAAGTGTCGAAAGGGCCTTAATCGAGTGCCTGGAATTTCTCTGTTTTGACCCCCCCCCCCAACTTGGTTCTTTTGATGTCCCAAGCCCATGAACGTGTCAACACACCTACAAAGACCGCAAAAAGGAAAACTAATAAAAAGTAAATAAAAATAAAAATTGTGCAATGAACTTGGTAAAACAAGTAAATACCGAGAAAATATGCATTGGGGACATGAATAAGTGCTAGATGGATATGATATGAGGAATTTTGGCACTAGAATGTGCTCTAAAAAGTATGCATAAGATCCAGTCATCAACATCCCCAAGCTTAAACCTTGCTTGTCCTCGAGCAAGAAGGTTGATAAACCAAAGTTATCCATCTATCTCCTCGATACAGATTATTGCTCAGAGGCATATCATTGTCTTCTCTACAAGCTATAAGCAAGATGGATCATATTTGTAAAAGGTGGCACATGCTCAACTAGGTAATATTTATTTTGATCACCAAACCACTTAGAGCTTCAGCAAAAACTTCTATGCTCCTTTTCGAAGTTTAATCTTGCATGAAAACAAATACTTGGATCATCTTACTTAATAGCTTTATTGATTTCTTTTTGGTGTTTTTCTTTTAAACAAACTTGAGCACAAAGAGTTGTCAAAAAGTCAAGATATAGAGATTCTCATCACTGCCCACTAACGTTCTCAAATCAAGACTCTCATGCGCTTACTTCAGTCATTGTTGGCTGAAACTTTTGTTGTCTGTTGACAAGATCATGCCAAAGAAATGACCATGCATGGGTTCTGCAAATGGCTTAAGCTTGATTATTACGGACCAATATGTTCTCTTTCGAGCTCTTGCGATCAATCCCTCGGTTATTTCTACATACACACACATATAAGAGAAAGTTGAATAATCTTTGATGTTACATACGGTAACAAATTCATAGCCGAAATCCGAGCCGAAACTCTGGTGGATCATTCATTGGCCAGTGGAGTTCTCAACATAACATCAAGAAGGGTAACAAAGCCACATTTACGCACGTAAACCGATACATTTTCAATGTATCTATAATTTTTTTATTGAGTCAATTACATGGGTGATGCTAGAACTTGGCGCAAGCGATCACTTTGGTGCTAGAACTTGTGGCATACATCCAAGTGGTGCAAAAACTTGGCTTCTGCGTGCAAATACAGTGCTTATCTCATTTGTATACGGAGTAAACGCTGACAAGGCGTGTGGGGGCCCGCTGTCATCCACTGACCAAGAGAAGGGACGTGTGGTCTTGTTTTTTTCTAGAAAAAAACCTCAATTTTTTTCCACAGAAAAGCTCCTGTCAATGTGGGAGAGACGGCATTTTAGTTTTCACTCTATGACCAATTGGTCCTGCCTGTCAGAGGGAGTGAAAATTAATAGAAAAACTGCAGCCGTGAGGTTTCGAACCAACGACCGAAGAGGCCAAAAATTGTCAGTCTAACCACCTGACAATTGAACGCCACATTCACCACGGGATAACACAGCTCTATGTATACAACAAGGACGCACGTCGAGATTAAATGGCCTGCAAATAGTGCAGCCCATTTTGCACGCCTTATTTAAAAAAAAAATTGCACAATAATAGAAAGTATGTTCACGTATGTACTAAATTACAATCTCAGTAATAAAAATAAGGTGTGAATATTCGCGTGTTATAACTACTGTACATACCAACAAAATAAATTATTTAAAAAATTGATCCCGTATTGTTTTAAAAAACTTATATATTAAAATAATATTTCTTACTCTAGAATTTTTTTATAATTTTAAATATTATGTATGTTTTAAATTATGTGCCAAAATAATACTTTAATTATAAAACATTTCAATAATTATACACACATATGTATTCTACATTCTTTGTAAAATTAAAAATATTCATAGCTTAAAATTGAAACTGTTGATATGAATATTCAATCATGTCTAATATTTAAATTATATTTTTCTAGGATATAAGTCATGAGTAAAAATTATACACCAGTAAATATTCATAAATATATAGTAAATGCTTGTATTCATCATTTTGTATAATTTATATATAAGCCGGAGTGTATAGTTTTTTCAGTATTCATTAATATTTTTATTTAATAAATTTTTGAAATATCTGTATTTGCTAATTTTCTACTATAATAAGCCGACCTGTATTTAGATTTATTTTATTTGCTAATCATCATTTGTATGCATAATATTTATAACACATCAAATTTGAACATAATTTTTATTACTTGCGATTTGCAAATATTTTTCAAAATAGGGCGTGCAAAATGGCCACACTATCTGCAGCCCATTTCCACATGCACCCTCCCTGAATACATAGTGTGAGGGAAATACTAGGATTACATAGAGTGTTTATCCCCTCTTACCGTGAAGCCCTGACTGGTCTAGTGGAAGGGAATGTTTCCCTTGTAACATTCGGTCGTGGATTCGAAACCATTCCACTGGTCATGGAGTGAAAACTGAAATGCCATCTCTCCCGCGTTGACAGGGGCTTTTTTTTTAGAAAAAAACAAGTTTTTTGGAAGAAAAAAAACCAGGCCATATGCCCCTTCTCCCTGGTCTAGTGGCTGACAGCGGCCCCCATGCGCCTAGTCAGCATCTACTTCGTATACAAACGAGATAAACACTGTATATGCACACAAAAGCCAAGTTTTTGCACCACTTGGATGTATGCCACAAGTTCTAGCACCAAAGTGAACGTTTGCGCCAAGTTCTAGCACCACCCACGTAATTGACTCTTTTTTATTGTTTTATGCTATTATACATCCTTGTATGCTTTATATGTCATTTTATATTATTTTTATGGAGTAGCCTATTATGTTGTGTAAACATTTTCTTAAAATGTCATGAACACATTTTTGTGTGAAAAGAATCATATCTATTATAAAAAATCACATAAAGTATAAAAAAATTAAATTGAGATTTCGAGACCACCAAATGATCACTATTGCCGTCAGAACGAGTCACTGACACGTTGCTGTCGTTACTCCCATACCGGAGCCGGTTTGACCTCGTCGATAATAGTCAGGAACTCTTCATGCACGTGCCCCTAAAGATGAGCGCCCCGGAGCCACAATCATCACCTGTTGAAACCTTGTATATATCTGAAGCATCTGACACCAAATCTCGCCACATGAAGAGAAACGCTAACCTCACTGCTCAAGGAGACGGCAGGAATCTACGCTGGAGCTCCGTCAACTACGACCAGACGAACAAATTCAAGAAGGATCGGAGCTGGGGAAACAAACTCGAAGAAGAAGCGCCGCTATTTGCTCGGGCGCCGCACGTGCAAGGACTAAAAAACCCTAACCGGAGCGGAGGCACCGGGATTCCACAGGCTCGATGGTGAAGTTTGGAGGCATGACTATTTTTTTAATGCCGCATACATTTTCTGAATGGTACGGACCATTTTTTTGAATCTTGTGATTTTTTTACATTGTATAAACATTTTTCTGAATGTAATCAACATTTTCTAAAAGTTGCATGAATTTTTTTAACACTGTGTTAACATTGTTTATTGCGCTATATATCGACGTTTGAAAATTTAGGTACAGTAAATTTGGAATATATATTTACTTTGTTTGAAATATAAACAAAAGCTAAAAAAAAGTACATACGTGGCTGGTGTGTGGTAGTGTGTGCTGTCCCGCGCCGAGCCTATACCTCATTCACAAATGGGGCGCTGAGGTGAGGCACTCTTCCGCCTCGCTACAAGCGAGGTATAGGCGTGCCCGACAAATGGCGCAGGTTTGGGAGGGCCCGAGAGATTTCGAATAAACGGACGTGATCATCGAGCTCAAAAAAGAAGAAGAATAAACGGACCTGATCTTCTTCAGGACAAATCATACCTTTGCTCTAACCTGTACCTGATCCGAGTCCAGTTCCCCTGCTTCACCCCCTATTCCATGGCGACGCCGCCGCCGCTCCTCCGACTCCACCCTCACCGCATCCTCCCTCGCCTCCGCCGCTTCACCTCTGGCCGCCTCCTTCTCCGCCTCCACCCCAAATCCCTCTACGCCACTGCCTCCACCTCACAAGCCGCCCCAACCCCGCCTCCTCAACCTCCTCCCCACGGCCCCTCGCTCCGCCGCGGCCGCCCAACGATAGGCCATCCTCCCGAAGCGCCCCTCTCCTTCTCGCGCACATTCGACCTCGCGGCCCTCCGCGTTCCCGCCGCCGCCTGCGCGTCCCTCGAGCGCCGCCTTCGCGGACACTTGCTCAACTGGCCCCGGGTCCGCAACATCGCCCGTCTCCCCAACGACGACGGCGACGGCCTCATATCTCTCCCCACGTCTCCCCGATCCTCCTCCGCCCTCCCGCCGACGGCGGTGGCGCGCCGCGAGAAGCTGGCCCGCGAGTTCAATGCCCGCGGCTTCGTGGAGTTCCCCATCCTCGCCAAGATGTCACGGCCCGCCGGGCGGACGCGAAGGGAGACAAAGGGGAGAGCAGCCGGCGGCAAGGAGACCAAGTACGAGAAAGACAAGGTCTATGTCGTGGAGGTGCTGGAGCAGGGAGGGGAGGACGACGAAGACGAATGGAAGGGGTTAGTCGGGGGGGAAGGGTTCGGGAAGGGCGCGTGGCGAGGGGAGCCCACCCGGCTGTTGCTGCTGGATGAGGGTCACGCCAAGAGGAGAGTTGATGAGCTCCCCGAGGCCGTCAAGGTGATGATTTCTTGCGCCTTCCTTAATAGTAGCTGCTCAGTGTAGAAACATAGATTAGCGAAGTTCCTTATTGAATGTTATTGTGGAGATTGAACAATGGTTGAATGAAGACTGGGGCAATGTGCGCTGGTGCTCCAGTCAGCACATTGTGCCACCTTATACATTATTCAACTGCAGATATGTTACTGGTTTTAGTTACCACTTTTGCAGGTTGTGTTAGAACACGAAGCCAACCAGGGTGGACCTTTTGCCTATGAGCTTGTGCAATGTCAGCTAACCCTGTTCTATGATTACTGGCCAATGAATGAGGTACCATAACATTTGTTTATATCAGATCTGTACTTCTATATTTTTTTCTTTGGGAAGTCAGGAATATATTTGTTCCCTTTAAGCAATTGAGAAAAATTATCGTTACAATCTAAACTCCCCCCCCATACAAAAAAACTTGAGCATGATTTGTGTTGAGGGTTTAAACTCCTGAAACTGGCTTCATGTTGCGTCTTATTTCCAACAGAATTCACAAGTACATTGAAGCTGGTACACACAAACTTGCTCCAGCATCAAACAAAGATAGTTATACATTTTGTTTCTTTTGGCAGTGTTACCTAGGCATGGCAAGACTACTTAGCTTCTGTAACAAACATTAAGATTCACAAGGAACTGACAGTTTTCTAGGATCCACAGTTTACTAATAAAGGAAAAAAATTGTCATTGTAAAGCTCTTTTCATTCTATTTTGTAAACGTTTTTCTTCTTCGAGCTGTTACTTAATAGGAAAACTGATACATCAGTAACGCGCACACACCGGCCCCAAGGCTGCGCACAAGTCACCCAAGCTAGCAGAGCCGACATCCTGCAACACCACATCGGTTGAGCTGCTGCTCTGGCTTCTGAAACATTGCGGTTTCGGAAGCTGCTGCCCTGGTTTCCTCCCATCGCATCCACCATCCCCACCGGTAAACTGACAATGGGAGGAGACCTGAGGCCCTTCCAACCACGGGGAGGCTGTCGCCTGCTTCTTTAGAACCAGAGCTTGGATCTTCACCCAGGGAGCTAAGATCCCATCAGAAGGAGCGAGATCATAGCTCTGCGATGATGCCTCCAAGGAGGGGAACAACACCTAAGGCGCTGTCATCGCTAGGGCCGACTAAGGTCAGAGCTATGTTTTCACACCAAGTTCGGATACATTTGCTAAAATAGCCGCACCAGCCTGGTCCGTACAACTTACAATGAGCCGTCGGCACCATCGACCACTCCGTCAATCCCAGGAAGCAACCACCATGGTACCTCATGCCCCAATGTACCACCACCATGCCCTCGAAGGCGCGTGCTGCCACACCTCCATCTTGATCTGTAGGTCTCTGCGGCCACTACATATAAGCAGTCGACATCATCTGTGGACCACAGCGATGCACTGACCTAGGGCTGCTGCTCTGGCTTACAACGCACCCTCAACAACCATTCCTCGCAGGCCCCAGCCCACAACACCACACCGGCGCTGCCGAGCCTAGGATCTGGGTCATCAGCACGCCCACACAGCTCTGTGCTCCTGTCGCACGCCCACAACAGCCACCGCTGCAAGCCCAGCCTGCCCACGCACGGCCGCAGAGCCTCCGCCACCGCACGGTAACCATGCCGCTAGTCTAACTCCGTCGTTTCTCCACTGAGCTCAATAGAACGACGTGGCGTCTCTTCTGTGAGCTCTGCTGCCCACAAGCGCGCAGCGCGTCGCTGCAACAATCTGACCAAGCCCTGCTGCCTCTGTAGCTGCATGGGTTTTGCCTGGGGGCGTCTTCGCCAGCGGCGATGGGAAGGAGCAGGTCGGGGGGGGGGGTGGTGGTGGTGGCAGCTGTGGGGATTGGTTCGCGGCCCGACTCCCCTAGGTTAGAGCAACACAGGGGCCGGGTGTCGTGAGAGTATTCCCCAGGTTAAAGGAAAATATCAACTGGACACTGATGGAAATTTAGCATAATAGCCTTTTTTTATTAATTCTAGTATATTGGCTATTTTTTTTAAGTTTGTGGGTGTTCTAGAACCCTAACTTGTGGAAACTGAATTGTTGGGCTTCTATTTTGTATTTGTATCTGATGCTTGTGCTGTCCAGGTAACACTGCCTTTGCAAATTCAGGATTCAGGAAAAACATCAACCTGTTCAGGTAGATTTAACTGTCATTACACTGGGTCAGTTTCTAGTTGTGGTAATGTTCAGTTATTGGTTCAGAGATGTGTTCATAGAAAATGCGATCAGTATATCTTTTTGCGTCATAGTATTGGCAAGAAAAAAGATATGGTCAGATAGTTGCCACTTGCCACCTATAAAGTGTTGTCTGACTAATATTTCTCTACTGATATGGCAAGCCAGCGGCATTTGTTTTCTGTCCAGAAGCTAATGCATCATATCAGAAATATCTATAAATTCAGATATTCACGTGAATGTTCTGGAAATATGAGACTAAAACTATCATGTTCTCGCATCATTACTTGTCCATTCCATGATCTATGTGATCCACATGAAGAATTTCCTTTATTTTCTCCCTTGTTCTGCACCTTGTATATTGTTTAAATAATTTGATTTCAGTTTATCTTGTGTAGGTCTTGGAGGCATTACTTCCTGAAGGGATAATCATTCCTGCAGGCTTTGAGACAGTAGGACATATTGCCCACTTGAACTTGAGGGATGAACACTTACCTTATAAGACACTTATAGCTCATGTAATTTTTGAGTACATAATGGTATGTTGTTTCTTAAGCATATTTTGGATCTTCTTTTTTAACTCGAACACAACTTGATTCGACATGCAGGTCGTTCTAGACAAAAACAAGCCAAAGATCCAAACTGTTGTCAATAAGATTGATGCTATTCAAAATGATTACAGAACTATGCAACTTGAAATCTTAGCTGGCCACGATTCCCTTGTTACAACAGTTATTGAGAGTGGCCTTCGTTTTCAAGTTGATCTTGCAACAGTGTATGTTCTTATCCATAACTCTTTTGTTTGTTCTGGCCACATTTCGAATTTTTTGTCATTCTTAAATCACAATAAAGTTAGTGAATTGTTAGCATAAAAAGATGCAAGTTCACTAATGGGAAGCCTTCGTTTTTTATGATGTGTTGCTGTGAATAGAGAGTCATTGAGAGTGGCCTTCGTTTTCAAGTTGATCTTTTTACAGTGTGTGTTCTTATCCGTACCTGTTCTGTTTGTTCTGTCCACATTTCGGAATTTATGCCATTCGTAAATCTTAAATCACAATAACATTAGTTTCATTGTTAGCATAGTTGCAATTAATGCGAAGCTTTCAGTTTTTATGATGTGTTACTGTGCCATAGTTTAGTGGCTAACAAGCTACTTTTTTCTAGTCACGATTGTTAAAAAACCCTAAATTTCCTTTTTTATTCATAAGCTATTAAGAAGTCAAGCCTTTGTCAATTTCATCCTAATCTAGATAACCTTGGGTATGCCTAGCGTCTAAAACTGTAAATAGGTCAATTGAAAATGTAGTGCATTCTCATGTCCATCATGAGGATTTACTGCTTCTGTTAAAAAACATGGCATAACATGTACTAGTTAATTATTCTAACTTTGACCACCAATAAAAGCTACATAAGATGGGTATGTGAAACTGGTAATACTTTTTGTCGGAAATACATTTTTGTTTACTAGTTAACTATTTTTACCTAGGGTATAAATAAAAAGTGATGCTCAAGTTACATGTTGGAGAACATTCCAATGTCCAGTATGTTGTTTTCTGAACGGAAGGAGTAGCATGCAGATAGGCATGAAATGATTTACTAACGCATGGTGCAAAATCAGGCAAGTTCTAATGCCTCAGGAGCAAAAACAGTAATGGTTTTTTTTTCCATACTTCGCCAAAACGAAAGGATTAGACTTAATTAATATGTCTGGCTTCCTAGGCTTGATTTGGTCAGTACCAGACTACCATGCATTGCTGGGCCAAACTGGGCTGTTAACAAACAAAATTTATCTAGAGCTTCATAAATTGCAACAGTAGTAAAAGATGCTTTGGTGGGTCAGTAATTTTCACATTCACATATTGCCTGGTTAAGGATCCTAATTCATCAAGTGTGATACATGCAAATAGTAGCTTATAAAAGTTTTTTCCGGATGAAAGAAGCATCTTACTTTTAGATTGTTGTCATTGGAGCAAAATTGCCTTCAATATTATGGAGGAAAACTGGAAGACGGTGTCTGGTTCAAAGTATACTTGTTTCTGAAATGTGAATTCCATTTGCTTGGGCCTTGGAGAGTGGAGAACTGGAGACCGCAGCACTGAACACACAATACTCTATGCTGTTGACACAATGTCTGAACCTGAAAACCTGTTACTATATAATCTTGTGTCTTGTTCGTGTCTGGTTTCTAAAATTAAGTAGTCCCTCCGATCCAAATTACTTGTCACTGAAATAGATGTATCTAGATGTATTTCAGTGCTAGATACATTCCTTTGAGCGACAAGTAATATGGATCGGAGGGAGTATGTTTTTATCTTCCTTAAGTAGTAGCGCTGATTAAGTGTTAAAGTTTTTGTTTTTTTACCAATTTTATAATGTTTTTCTTTCCAATATTAATGACTTATGATGGCTGGTACAGCTATTGGAATTCTAGATTATCAACAGAAAGGCAGAGGCTTGTCAACAATATCTTTCAAAATTCTGATGTTGTATGTAAGTTCCAGCTCTGCTTGTTTTGAGTATATATAGTTTTGGTGAATATTGGTGTTAGTTTACTGAACTTAGTTTTCGTAGTCCCACAATATAACATGATGGAACTCCGCTCAGGCTACATTGCCCATATTGGCCCTAATTCATGCATCATTAAGTTGTAGAATAATTGTCAATAAACTATACAACTTAATGTTGCTAATGTCATATTGAAACTGACCATTTCGCTAAACTGAGCTTTTCGCTTAACCTTGCTTCCCCTTGCACAACTAACTATTTGATGTTTTATCCTCATGCAGGTGATGTATTCTCTGGTGTTGGGCCAATAGCAATTTCAGCTGCAAAAAAAGTCAAATATGTTTATGCAAATGACCTAAACCCAGCTGCAGTTGAGTACCTTGAGCAAAACATTGTTCTTAACAAACTTGAGAGAAAAATTGAGGTAATTGCCAGTTTTACTTCAAAATATGCTAGGGTAGCACAAGTGCATTTATTTTGTTTGTCTAGATCTATGTGGGAGATGTAGGCTGCTTATTAGCATTAGTTATGCTAGTCGTTATAGTTAGCTGCAGTATTTATTTGGATAAAATTGTATTATCTATTACTCCTAGATTATATACTATTGAGTTCTATCAGGGCTAATATAACTATCTATTTGGTAGTTGGCCTACCTTTCAGAATTAAGCAATAAAATAGATCAATCTGGTTTCTCCCAAGGCTCTTCCTCATAGTCCATGATCTCCTCCCTTCAAGCCAAGCAGGCCATCTTCTATATGGTACCTACCATGCAGTTGATAAATATTGTTCCTAGCTTTTAGTTATACATCCCATAGAAGAATTGAAGATACTGTCCAAGGGGATAAGATCAGAATCCGTAATAAGGGAGGACTTATACTCCATTATCAATGAAGCGATGAATGAATCTAAGTTATTTTCAGTCTTCTTTCTTAGCATAATTAGCATTAGTATTCTGGTATGGATGAGAGTATATGCCAGGTATAATTCAATGTTTAGTATTTTTTGCGTCTTCATGAGTTTGAGGTGAAAGTTGCTAGTAATCTTCTGTTAACCAGGTATTTAACATGGATGCCAGAAGGTTTGTTAATGCGATGTACTCAAGCCAACATGTGCATCCAGTCACACAAGTAGTAATGAATTTGCCCAAGGACGCTGCAGAATTTTTAGGTGAGTGTACTTTTCTGAGTAGTTACCTATTTTCTTTTTAATGGTATAAGCCGGATTGGCTTTACTATTAATAATTTTCCGGGGTGAAACCTCCTTCAACATGCTGTGTGGGATTTTGGAAATTACACTGCAAAGGATCATATGCACTGAGTTAATCTATGTCTCCTCCGTTGCTCGCTCTTTCTCATCACCTTAGGTATTTATGTTTTATTAAGATGTATGAGAAAAACAAAAGTGCGCTTGTTTGGACTGTTTGGAGTTTCTCTAGTCAGCAAGTCACAGCTCTGGCACATGAGCAGCTTTCTGCGTAGCCAGCTTGACCTAAGGAAAATTAACATGTGAAATGAAGAACATGCTGCTCTAGATTGAACTTCTATAGTTGAGGAAACATGTTGCAAACACAATTTTGTAAAAATCTATCAGAGTAGAAGCACAAATACTTTTGTTTGTGATGTGACAAAGAAACTCAACCCTTGCTCTGGTGGTCCTAGTACTGGATTCGACTTCCTTCCTCTGAGACCTAAAGTTCATGGCCTAGTTGCTGCCGGCGCGGTCAAAGACGGGGTTCCCTCGGGTCCTTCCCGGGGAAGCCACCATGGTGCCACCGTACTTGAGGTCTGGCCCAACGGACTCTGAAGGGGTGCTCGGGGGATCCGCCGTCAGGCGTTCTCTCCTCGAGGAGCAAGGACCACCCGTCATGTGCAATCATCCCTGAGGACAAAGGGAGGACACTTTTGAAGAAGGCCATGCTATGGTAGGTGTGACGTCAGGATGCGTGTCGGAGTGGGCAAGTGTATGCATGTGTCCTGCCCTTTGTGAAGAGACGATTGATGGGAGGTCTCGAAGGGCAGGTGAGCCTGCAGTGGCGCACATCATGGTATGGCCTCCTTTATGGCCGTCTGGACTCCGAGTCGCTAGGGCCCTCCAAGTATAAAAGGTGCAGATGCCATTTGTAGCAGGTTGTAATAGGCTAGCTGAAATTCTACCAGATCAATAGACACCAATAACACAAGGGCAGGAGTAGGGTGTTACACCTCGCCGGTGGCCCGAACTTGAGTAAATTGCCTTGCCGTGTTGCGCGGAGTGAGGGAGTGTTTTAACCCCTGACCGGACAATCTAAGAGTTGCATCGTACCTCCGATATCGATGATCACCCATCGACATCTGGCGTGCCAGGTGGGGGGTTAAGGCTCCAATCTTCTCTAGCAAACACACCAGCTTGAGAACCACGCGTGCAGCGATGGCGACGCCCAACGCCGATAACCTGGTGGGATATCTCTAAGGGTGGAGCACCATCGTGGCGCGCGTGGCAACTCGCATGCAGGGTGCGCACCCCGCTCATGGTGACTATCGTCGCCTTGGCGCGACGGCTCACAAGCGCAATAAGGCGGTGGCACTTCAAAACTCGTTGTTATAGGCCTTGGGGGCTCCCTTGACTCTTGTTTCCCCGCAAGGGACCCTGCGCGTCTTAGGGACGACCATGACACCGGGCATGGCAACTTCGACTCTTAAGGACAAAGAGCATGGTCCCGAAGTAAGGGTCGCTTCAGGCAGAACTACCATGTGTGCAACCGTATGTTTCTCCTTCGATTATGCATTGCATTAGTTTTAGGGTCTTCACCTATCGGCAGATCGTTATCTATGGCCAGTTGTAGACCCTAGTCTCAACAAAAGGCTCGCCATGATCAAGCTGGCATGAGAAATGCATGGCCTTTCTCCATAACACGGCGACAAGGTGACTGTGCTTGGGGTTGACCTTGGGCACCACTGCGCTCTCTCGGGCAGTGTCACGACGTGTTAAAGAAACCTGGTGTTCTCTATGATAGTTTGATCGGTCAGCCCGAGTGATGGCCGACCTCACAACGGCATAATAGCCGCCACCATTAGGGCACTTTCTGCATGTGCAGGAACACATGAGAAGGTGCAGAAGGCGACCTAGGCTGAGCCGCGACAACATCGGGGCCTAATCCGAAAGCAGAAACCTCACATGACAAAATCTTGCGGGGTTTTCCCTCGCCCAAGTGCGCTTGTTTGATACCATTCCGCTCACTGCCGTACGCTACCTGTCAGAAAGGGCGCCCTTGGACACACGCGTCCGGGGGCGCAACACCCCTGAGAAGCGATGCTCTCCTCGTTTTTGCTTTCAAGTCTGGCTCAGGCATCTCGCGGCAGGCACACGTGCTCGGGGCCCTAAGAGATGTGGGGGAAAAAGTGACATAAGATACCGGAGAGGAAGGATGCCAATGGCTGTTTGTAATAATAGCTAAACCTCCACGTTCATTTCAGATAAAAGAGAAAATGCACACTAACCACGAAGTAGCGAATAGTTGTGCGATAAGTTTTTTTTATTACACAAGCTCTCTGGCCCCGGAAGCAAGAAGAAAGAGTGAGGGAGGCGGTGCGCAGTAGCGCACTCTGGAGCGCCCCTGGGCACTATCGTCAGCCTCGACAGTGGCTCCACCCGACCCCGCAGATTCACGACAACGGAAGCGGCGGGCATCCTTCATGGCGACGGCCCGGACTGCTTCACGATCACGAGCTACCGCCTTGTGTACCGGCCCCAGGTGCGTTGGCTCCACCGTAAATTGGGAGTCGCGATCGTGGTAACTGGCTAGCACGTGCTCAACCACCGTGGCGGCTAGGCCGCGACACTCCTTGTCCGCCACCTGTCGGATGGTCGTGAAGAAGGCACGGAGACCAGTGGCCAATCTCTCAAGACCGTCCGTGATCCCCACAACGCCCTCCATTGTTGTGCGTATGACAATGAGCTCGAACTCAGCGCCCATCACGTAGGCATCCAGTTGGCTAAAGGAGAGGCGCACCGCGACAAGACTTTCCGTCCTCGCTGTGCTAAGCTCCCGGTACAACCGATGGTGGGTGTCAGCCCTCTCCTTGTGCCCCTCCGCTTCGGTACGCTGGCTCAACCTCCTTGGACAGGTCTTGCTTGGCGTGGTCACTGATCGACAGGAGGGCGCCAAGGTCATCCCGAGCTTTCTTGGTCGTCGCCAAGCTTCTTCTCCAGGGTCTCGATGTAGCGGCTCTTCTCTGCCTGCTCCTTCTCTGCGCGACGAACCTCCTCCTGGTGTCAAAGCTCCTGGCTCTCGAGTTTCCCTCGAGCTCGAGCTCCCATGCCTTGAGGCTTCTCTCTCTCCTTGGAGAGTTGTACCAGCTACTGGGCTAGCTCTTCCTCCCTCGTTCGGGTGGCAGCCTCATGAAGGGATATTAGATCCTCACGTTGGGACGCCCACTGCTCGCGCTCCAGTACACCTGCGTTGCATTGGGCAATCACTTCATCCCACACACACGGGCATTTGCCTCGGAAGCAGTCAATGCTGCGCCTCAGAGAGAATCTCCTGCTCTTGCTCGACGACCTCCTGGATCCTCTGGGAAAAGGCCTTCTGCCTGGAGTTTTTCAGAGTCCGCGGAGAGACGAGCATGGGCGGTGGCCAGGCGTTTTCGAAACTCTGCCTCAAGGGCAGCCACCTCGGCGAAGAACCGTTCAAGCTCCCACAAAGCTTCGTGGGCCGATCGAAAAGCTTGTTGAAGGGAGGCAGGAGGCGGCGGCCATGCACCACCAGATGGCGCATGCCTGGTATCGCTGGGCATGCACAAATCAAGCAAGGACGGATCCGCGACAACCCCAGGCACCGCCGCCATCGAGGCTCCTGGAGACAGGATGGTCAGGGCGGCGTCCCAACCCTGCTCCTGTCCACGGCGGCGAGCGTATTCATCACCCCGCCTTCGACAGCGCTCGGTCAATGCCCCCGGAGAGGCTTCGATCGAAAGTGGGGGGAGCTGAGCAACAAGGTGAGCAACTGCCTTGGCGCAGTGGTAAAGCTGCTGCCTTGTGATCATGAGGTTACAGGTTCATGAGCTTACAGGTTCAAGTCCTAGAAACAGCCTCGTACAAAAATATAGGGAAAGGCTGCTTACAATAGACCCAAAGTGGTTGGTCCATTTCCTGGACCATGCGCAAGTGGGAGCTACATGCACCGGGCTGCCCAAGGTCGAGCACACTGTCCCTAGTGGGGAATGTGACCGATATCCTCGATTTTGGTATACTACCACGCGGGGTAGTTACTGTCCTGCGTTAGCATGAAATGGCGGTGGAGGAAAATCCGCCACCACCATCTTACCGTGCACCCGCGTCTTTTGAGCTCCATGATCCGCGTCGTGATCGGGCCTAGTCGCTCGTCGTCCGAGGACAAGCTCCCCCAGGTGCTCCTTGCAGCCAGGGATGGCTCAGCAAGGGGAAGCACCAGGCGAGGTTGCCGGGGGGGGGGGGAGAGGCTTGATGAACCACTATTCCTCAGCCAAGGTCTCCTCCCATTTGCTCTGGAGT